ACAATGATTGTAATAAGCATTTCCCTATTAATAAAAGCTAGATATGTATGTAATAATTTAATTGATTAAAAAGACATTAAGATGAATATGAGATGTGAGTACGGTGAGACAGGAGAGAGTTGATTTGATTGAAGTGAAAGAGAGAAGAAGAGTGAGAGTGATTATATTTAAAGATATTAAGGAAACTTTGATGGTTGAGTATTTGTGTTGGGTGAAGTTTGTTTGGTGTAGAAGTGGTTATTTAAAGATATACTAGAAGGTGGAAGCTTTGAAAATTATGTCTGATGGGATGGGGGGCATTGGGATCGAAGAAGGTGTTGGAAGTATAAGCATATGAATGTTGTGTGTGTGCGAGAGTTGAAAGCCAGATTTGAGAATGGTGATATATGAGACCTTGGGCTTAGAGGAATATAATGTACGGTTTTGGAGTGTCGAAGTTTTATTATATGGCTATGATTTTGAGCTGTATCTTGTAGTGGTAATAAAAAAAAAAGATATGTTATGGTTGTTGGTGTCAATTCTGATAGTATTTTGAAGTTGATGTTAGTAGTGTCAAAAAAAAAAGCGATATGTTATGGTTGCTGGTGTTAGTTTTGATAGCATTCTGAAGTTGGTGCCGATTCCAGTAGATTTGTAAAGTCAATGTATGCATGGAGGTTTGACTGAGGATTCCCAAAATGAATGTGGTATGTAAAAAGAAGATTCAAGACATTGCTAAAAAAAAAAGATTTTTTTTGTTTCTGTTGCAGCTCTGTTAAGGTTATTTCTGATAGACAGTCCTCTCCGAACAGTATTGACTGAACACTAGACAGTATTTCAACCTTTGTATGGGCGGTAGTGTCACTGTGGATTGGCCTGCTATGTTTCTTTCTCTTATGGGTACACATAGGCTGTTTGCACCACAAATTGATAATTTTAGTCTACAAAAAGACTTTTGTAAGAAGCCGTAGACTCTAATTTATCAGTGAGCATCTACACAGTCTACAAGAAGACATAAAAAGCAAACCACCTTATACTCTATATTTTATTATGGCACAGTCAAGGTATTGGCAGAAAAGCTGGTGTGTGCGTCTTTATATAAAGAAAGACTGGGATTTATACAGTATACTTATACATCTTGGAGACAGGTATTTAACCCAAAAAAAGAAAAAAAATGCCCTGATAAATTTAAATTTTCCAAATATAGTACCGAGCCCGCAAAGATATCGACGAGAAACGCGTTGGTACCCACACCCTGAGATTGCGGGATCGAAACTTCTTTTAACCGCATTTTAAATTTTTCAATTTTTTCATTTTTTTATTTTTTTTCAATTTTTCATTTTTTTCAATTTTTCATTTTTTTACTTCTTTACACCAATTTACTCTCATACTTTTAATAAATAGATTTGAAACAAAGACTTCAAGTATGTTATTTAATATAACACATAAAAAGTATCCTATGTATTTTTCTTTTTTTCTAAAGCCTAATATAGAATATTATAACATATATTACACAGCCATCCATTTTAAGAGTGTCTGTCAATATCACTATCCTTTTTCTTTTTTTTTTTTTTTTTACTTTGTATATGTCTTGGGTTTTGTGCAGATGCTCCAATTAGTGCTTTTTTGTATACATGATCATAGAGTTCTCTCTTGTATGTAAATACTATACATTTGTTTCAAGACAAAATCTTACTGAGTTTTGAATATACTAAAAGAAAG